TGTGCAAGAGGCAAACTAGAAGACGCCAGGGACTACTTGTTTAGCGACTGGCAGCTCCTAATGTCATCTACAGGCTGTATGGTTGGGCAGAATTCGGGTCACAGCAAACGGGTCACAGCAAACGAATTCTGACGACCGCTTTCTCTGCCTGAAAGCGTGGGCGACACAAGAAGCATTTTGGCCTGACAATAACGGACTCTGTAGGGCATGCGCTGAAACGCTTAAAGTGCAGTTAATCAGATTAATCGTATTCCCTTCTGTTGCAAGGAATGAGGGCTGTCGTAGGCGTTTTGCGTAATTTTACTGGCGTTCAGGGTTTGAAATGTCTGTTAACATCAGTCAATAGATGGTTATCTGTCCTCTGTCGTTTCCTCAAAAAGTTAACAGGCATTTTCTTGCCTCATTAACTCTCTTCAGGCTTTTTTCTTCAACGAGTAGATGGTGCTCCAGCTCTCCTTCACACAGTCAATTTTCAAAACCGTTCTTAGGCAAAAAATGGTCTGGCGTCTATTGTAGTCGTCGACTCAGATAGCATCCTGCTTCGTATTTTTAGAAAACGGAGAAGAGTTTGCTTTAAAGAGATATTTGCTGTATACGTTTGTGTAGTTCATCATCGCTTGTAGGGATATAAAGCAAAGTTGACTACTTTATCGAACGAAAATCATGCCAATGGCCTAACATTTTGAGCTCCTCCAAGGTAGCAAGCCAAACTGCTCCATTTATTCTTGCGTGCATTTTCAAGTTAACTAGATAATCAGGGTCTGGAATTCTCGATCCGGTGGGAATGTCTGTGGAAGTAAAGTAGTTCTTAAATATATTGGGGAACTTGAAATTTGTTTGCTTTGGGTTACGTTACAAAGCATTCTTATGGGTATTGAACGATTCTGAATGCTTCGCCAGTTTGACGCCCAAGATCTGTTGAAGCTTGCTTTGGAAGACTTTTTACTTCTTATAGATAATAGTGGAAAATACGTTGCGCAGTCCTGTAATACTAGATGCCTCAAAACTGTCAGAGATGGATAAATTTAAACCAATAGTATGCCTACTTACTTGCCTGGGTCTATCCAGTATGTAAAACTCGGGTGGTTTATGATCATCAAGTCATATTTTCCCAAGCAAACTAACTTAAATATGCCGATTGGAGTGAACATTCGAGTTCCAGTAAGTAGCTCAGAAGAAGAAGTGTCACTGGAACAAAACTTTTTTTCTCTTGTTCCAGTGATCGCATCTTTTTCTTATAACCATATTCATATGTTTGTCCCCTTACCTAAAATGCGCTCCTTCAACCAACGTAAGGCGGTAGCCAAGACCACAAACCCATAAGCAATTTTTCCAGGCCAATCAAATGGCTTTCTGTGTTTCATCCACTTCCGTTCAGAAAGTATTCTACTACATAACTCCATGAGCCTCAGGAGATTTGTCTAAATCTTATGTTCCGCACCCACCGATTGTACAAACTTCGGTCAAATTGTATTACCTTACTAAACGACAATCGTATAAATGGAATATCAGTTTAGGATTTATCCAATGAGCATGCCGTTCCGCTTAACGTGCTCTTGAGAGACTGGCAGGCGTAAAACCGTCAAGAAGACCAAGGCGATGTCCACTTACAGTGGTACTTTCTTCTTATCTTGTAGCCTTTTGGATACATCTTCTCCTGGTTCGGTAAGTCGGCATGGCAAGCTGCCCAAACAACACTAGCATTTCTGCTTCAGCAACAGAATCCGGAAGATCTGTACTTTGCAGAGTGCCAAACAGCAGAATTACACCTTCAAGAAGCTGGAGAGGACCTACTCGGCCGTGTTAGAAACGACTTAAAACGCCACCTTCTCCCCACAGTGTACGCGTGACCTTTTAGACCAACTGGGCCCTCATCCACGTGTTTGAAGCTTCAGCAAACATCTGAAACACTCTATCCATTTCCGGTGTTATAATTCACATCAAAGCCATATGCACTACTCTGAATATTGCTATACATAAATTATGGAGTCATCATTTTTGCAAAACACCGTATTTTGAACGGTGGTACCGCAATGAAAATACGTCAACTTAACATTGACATGAATTGTCAAGTTTTAACAGATCTTTTATGAATGCTAATTATTAAATATTTATCCGATTCCTGCCACTCCTACCCTTCTTTGTACAGTTCAAATATAATTTCTTATTCCGAGGTTGGAACCGGCCAAATTTCGGACTAGTCTGGTAAGGAATCCATTCGCCGGCCTAATTGTAAGACAAGTAAGTGTGGTTTTCGATACTAATATCGCAATAAGGCGTTCCATATTTGTCACATGTTCTCAAGGTCGAGCTAGTCCAGGGCGAAAGTCGTGCGCTGGAATACGATGCTCAAGCACTCCTTCTTCAAGGGGTTCAAAGTTCGCAACTTGTTTACTTAGATTGTAAAAATTCGGTTTTTGACTTCTCGATAGCTTTTGTTTAGTAAACGACGATGTGGCCTGCATCATCTTGACCCGCTTGCGTTTCTTCGGTTAAATCAGTTTATCGAAAGAGCCATCGAATAGCGTACACTACGTTTTATTATTTTCATACCTTCATTATCCAGGGGCAAAAGCCAGGAACAATGCACATACGTGCGGACGTACATAGTCACCAGCGGCTTCAGTAAATTATGCGAGGCCAAATACGATTCGCGCATATACAAAACTCAGATCTCTAAAGGGAGTTTCATATATCCGTTAAACGGATGACAAAGAAGAGGCTGACATTAGTCTTATTTCTCCAGACTGAGCCATATACTACGGGTACCAACGATAGATAACATAAAAATCAGTGTAGAGTTGAACTTTATTATCAATAAGTTCAACTTGCTCAACCAGTTCTGTAAACCTTTTTGACACAGAGCATGTTGAACATTCAGATTGCTGAAATAGCCTTAAAACCTATGTGTAGAGCTTCTTGAATAGTAGGTGGATTTAATGAGTGAACATGTTACTTCAAACGGTGCTAACGACCATGTTTACCTTGTACCTCTACAGTTAGAATGTCGATTTCGACGATGTCTACTGTATGTTTCACAGCGTGGTGAGGCAGAAACGGTGTCATGCGCATGCATAACTGCAAAGTGATTATCGACCTTCGGTGCATCTACCGCACTCTCAGTCTTGCCTTACCCACATATACTTCGTGTGAAGATAGATTTAATTAGACTGCAGGCAGGATCTGACGCAAGCGGTTGGCATGGCCTACCATACTAACTCAGACGCCATGCAGTAGAAAAGCCAAAAGAGGCCGTGCC